CGTCGCAATACTAAAAGCTTTCAACTCTTTATTAGTCATACATAAACTCGAGAGAGAGAGAGAGTGAGGTGTGATTCTATTTTCAGCGTATGTAAAAATTCGATAAAATCGAAATGTAAATACACTAGAAATTCAAGTTATTTACTTTTTCGTGTAACTTATTTATTTTTTTATATTTTCTTCAGATTTCACTGATATTACTAAACTATGAAAGCGATCGCGGAACTGAATACGCTGCAAAACTCGCTCTGACGAACACCGTGCGTTTGGATTAAAAAAAAAAAAACTTGTTGACATCCGGCGGAACACGAACTTCCTGCGGAATCCTCGCAAGCGCTCATGCGAAGCGATACTATTTAACGATGGGCCACGGTTGCCATGACGACTCATGTATAGCTTAAACGGTACAGTCTGTTGGCAAACATTTGCCGGGATCCAGCAAACAGGCAACAAATTCCATTTCATGAAGGAACGGGCGTACATAACGAACGTTCTCGACGAAACGAGAAGTACCCTCTCCAGCGTGGCGGAAGAAATTTCCGGGCCATAGATAGAAAAACTTCGCGTCGCTTCTACCACTACCACTACGAGGGCAAATCCAGATTAAAGAAAAAGGTATTAAAGGCGTTCCTGACGCGCATCGCGGATAATATTGACCGACGACGTGAAGAAGACCAGCGGGGGGGGGGGGAGGATAAGAACAGAGCGGGCACAGAGAACGGGGGAAAAGATAAGAGGACGTAAAAACTGCGAAACGAGAAATAAAAAAGACCAGAAATGACGCAAAACGCACGATTTGGAGCATGTAGAGATGGCGGCCTGTGTATGTACACGAACGAGAGACGAATGTTTGCGCACGGTCTCGGCGAGGTCTCTCAAGAGCTAGGGGGTCGACGCGAGGGAAAAGTGGGGGAGGGGGAAGAAGGGGGAGTCGTACTTCTGGCTCCTAAGCAGAAAATCTAATTTGCGTAGCTTAACTCCTAAGGAGCTCCAGATGCACGGACGCCAACACACGGGAGTTTCAATTTACGAGGCGAGGACGGCGAAACCAGGGAGAAAGATGAGAGGCGCGGCTGGAGTGACGAGGCGCAGTGACGAGGAACGAAAGTGAGACAGAGAGGGAGAAATAAAGAAAGAGATACGTACACACATACGTAAATGAGAAGGAGAGAGATATACGCATATATGCATATACACACTTAAACAAGAAAGAGAGCGGAGATATATATAGAGCGAAGGAGAGATGAAGATTCGAGGAAGGAGGATATTGCGGAAAATCTTGACGAGAAAGAGAGAGAGAGAGAGAGAGGTCTTAACAGGCGCACGGTCCTTCGCATCCCTCTTACCCATCATCCCCGTGCCAAAACCCGTATCTTCCACCCCCTTCCGCGACGCGGTCCCTCTTCTTGAGAGCTAAACAAACATCATTACTCCTGGCCTTTCTGCTAACACTCCCTTTGCCAACTCGCTTCCTTCTCCTCCTCCGCCTCTTCACCCCGCCAGCAGTACTCTCCGGTCGGCACACGATGGTTCCTCTCGGCCGCCTCCACTTGGCTCACGACTATGCAAGTCCACCCGTAGTGCCCGAAGCCGCCAATGTACACCGACCAGCACATCGGGCCCTGAATACGTAATCCCGCGGGTGGTAACATTGATACTTCGTTAAGAGGGAACTCTCTCTCTCGAGAGAGAGAGAGAGAGAGGAGTCGCGCGGGAGGAGACGGGCGGGACACTTGGACCGAGCTGCTGCGGTGGTCGGAGAGGCAACCGGGCGATTCGTGGTTTAAGCCGGCCCTCCTACCATCGATCGGTCGATCCGCTTAACGGTCGTTCCCGGCCAACCACGTTCGTCGTCGTCGCGGCCGCGCGCGCTTCCATCCGGAGGATGAGGCACGGGAATGAGGGATCGGACGTGAAATCGCGCATGTCGCCGGCGAGGGCACTCCGGATAGTCCGTCCTGAAGTTTCGAGGAAACTGCGTTCTCGAAGGATCGCCGTCGAGAGCGGTTTTCACTCGGTCTCTGGTCTCTTATTCGGCTCAATGATGTGCCTTCGACCGAGGCTAAAGTAGCGAGTCGTTTCAAAAGCCCTTGCAATTTTCAAACTTTCCATTTATTTAAAATCTATTTCCCCCTTTTAAATCCTGCACTTAATAATAATATAATATGATAACTTTATTGAATTTAATGCGATATTAAAAATTTATCGATATAGATAACAGATTGTATTTCACGCATTTATTTCATATTTATTTTCGCAATAAAATTTATAGAGAAAATCGCCAGGATTTCTAAAATGATCTAATATGTCTAATAAATGATTTAAATAATTTCCCCAATGACTAATAAAGAGAAGTAAGCAACTATTTATGTTTCTGCAACGCTTCCTGCAACGAAAAATCAACGTAGAAATATATGTATCGCCTAATTACAGTAAAGTAATTATATTCCTCTCGCTCCAAATACACATCATAGAGATAGTATAGCACAGCGTAATTCGTGCCGTATGCAACAGTAATCAGACTGCAAATGTCTAAAAAAGAAGGAAACGAGATGCAGAGAAGAAGGAGAGAAAAGATTACTTCGTTATTTGAAGCTCGCTAAAGAGAACAGCGACTGGCGGCTAAGACGCGTCTGCGGCTTCATCCGGTTAACGTTTGTTCCGGCTAACCACGTTCGCGTCCCATTCCGAGTTTTCCTCTAGCTGAAAGTAGTGGTATAACCCCGAGGGGGCGCAAGACCGCGGGGCGAATGCAATTTGTCGCTTC